CGTTTTCGCTTTTGCTTGACTTGTCAGCTGAATTTCAGTTCGTTTACATTTTCCTTCTACTCCTCGGATGCAAAATTGAGAACAAGTTTTCTTTTTTTTTCTAATAACGCAGTAAATAACAGCATATAAGACACAATTCCTTTATTCATAAAAAAACAAACATTGAGGTCATCCATGGTAACTATGAAAACGTAGCTAAGATGTGGCAGAATTATAGGGCACACCCTGAAGATCGAAGGCACTATAAGGTTGTAACTGATTTAGCTTGATAGCCATTAGACCAAATTAAAGGGCACAATTCCGGTCATCCAGTGAATTGGTAAAAATTCACACAGACCACTTAAATGTAGGATACATTTTTGTCGCCGCTTCGTCTAAAAGGATGACACGCCTTGGTTAATATCGAAAAGAATAATATTGTCACTTTCAGTGAAATCGAAACAATATTCTCTGCCTAGAAAACAAACTTCTGAATCTACCTCGAAGAAAAAGCGTCTTGAATGTAACAGGGAAATAGAAAAACTTGAGCTTAAAAGAAATGAGAAGACTTTAGTGAGGAGAAGTGAAGAGAAAAGACAATAAAAGAACATTCATCAGGAAGAGAGAAGATAATGCCACTAGGAGGCAAGGGGTTACTAAGAGGGAAAGAGAATGAGAAGACATTGTTCTAGAGGTAGGCAATAACTGGAATAAAAGAGTTGACAAAAATGTATTTCATTGATAAAAATAGCAATGCAACCTCGTCACAATATTTTGTCAAGTACACCTCAAACCTCATTGCATAATCGTATCACCATAACTGAACAGTTGTTACAACTTGATCTACCATTAATTGTAAATAGGTCAGTTTTGTTTGGTTTCGTTTGGTTTCGTTTGTTTTGCTTTACGGCATATCAACCTCAGTCGGTTATTTAATGCCGACAAAATTGTTATTATTGGTAACAATTTCTTTTGTCAAAAATCTATTTCTGGTAATATTTTTCCTTCAAAACTCTTTTGCTGGTAATATTTTTTCTTTAAAAATGTATTGCTGATAATTGTTTACAAAGTATTTCTGGTATTAAAACCTATTTTTACACTTTCATAGTGTTTTGACTCCAGTTTGGGGGTTAACTATTTGCCCATAACCTGTATCCTAACAGGTAGTACTACCCCGGGTCATGGTGGACCTGGGAACCCCAGCAATTAAGAGGTGGTTCCACGATCCTCTAAGCTTCCTGATCAGAGGCCTTGCTGCTGGATGTAGTTTATCGTCTTACCCAGGATGCAGATGTAGTTTATCGTCATACCCAGGACGCTGTAATTTGGTCAGATATAATTGCTTATTGAAGGTGGATCTAGCAGAATTAATAGGTGTGGTTATCTTATTTAAATTATTAATTATTCTTAAGAGCAGTGCTAAATAAGAACTAGACAAGATATCTCCCCCACAAGATATGGACAGCATAACAAGAAAAATTTACCCCTTTAGATTGAATAAAAGGTTCAGTTTGAAATTCCCTGGATCGACAAGAATTGGAATTTTTAACTGACTATAATTGGTTAAAATAGTGATGCAATCTCGTCACATTATTTTGACATGTACACATCAGACCTCATTGAAGAATTAGATCACCAGTTAATAGGCGAAGCCCTCTTATTTAAATTATTAGTTTTTATTCTAATGTTTAATTCTAATTCTAATGTTTGAATTCTTTCTTCGTAACCGTAATTATCAGCACTGTACGTGTGTTTATCAGATACCGTCAAAATGTTTTTGTTGAATCGCATAATGTAGATATTGAACTGAACATTTCCAAACTAGAAACCAAAACTATGACCTTTGCCCATGATTTTTTTCCGATGACATTTTTTTCTATTCAATGGAAAATGGAGACTTTAAAAATGATGTTATTGCGTTTTAGTCCGAAGCAATGGCCACCAGGTGGACCATAAATGTTAACCAATTGCTGATGTTTATTAAAGTATAAATCCTCACAAAAACTTCAATATATCCGTGTTCAGTGTTGTAATAAAAATTCAGTTTAAAAAAGGTTTGTTGGGAACACTGTTCTAAAGGTAGACAATAACTGGAATAAAAGAGTTGACAGAATGTATTTCATTAACTAACAGCAGTTGACCGAATAGCTTAACTGATTAAAATAGTGATGCAATCTCATCATAATATTTTGACAAGTATACCTTAATACTCATTGAATAATCGGATCACCATAACTGAATTGCTGTTATTACTTTACCTACAATCAATTGCCATTAAGTTGAATATAATTGCTTAAACGATAAGCTAAACCCGACAGCAGGGTCTCTGATCGGGAGATTGGATGTTTTGAGAAGCGTGAAACCATCTCTTAATTACTTTTGTTCCAAAGGTCCACCTTGACCCGGGGTCTCAAGTTATGGCCAAATAGTGAACCCATAAATAAAAACAAAAGCAAAACACCACAAAAGTATAAAAATACCAGTAATACATTTTTTTTAATATAAAACAATTACCAACAATAAATATTTATAGTAAAATGATAAACAATACATATTTATAGCAGAATAGTCAACAATACATTTTATCTGTAGTTGAAGGCATACAATTGCGTTCAAAATATTATTTAGTTGAAGCTATAAAATTGTGTTCAAAATACTTAGATTTCGAAATTATACAACTCACAGAAGTTGATATGCCGCTAAAGAAAATCAACCAACCAACATGAAAGAACTCTTTCATAACTGTTATTGGGTCCACCCCTTTTTGATATAAGTGGACTCGACCAGAGTGTTACTTGGACTGCTGCCGTTAAATATCCACAGTCAGTTAGAATAGAGAGATTGATAGAGATTGAGGGAGTGAGCAGAGATTGTGATGTAGTTGGAGGTAGAGTAATAGTGTGAGGGAACCGCTTACAGAAGTCAGTTACAAGCACGTAGACTCTAAGGAAGTCCTACTTCGAGACTGTATATATATATATATTATTATTACGACTGTATATATATATATATATATATTATTATTATTATTACGACTAACCGCGTTCCTGGATTTACTAACAGAATTACCCTTTGTATTATTGTGTAAATACCTTATCTTTATTTACTGCGTTTGTCAGTCACTGGAGACCGAATTTCATCTCGGAATCCACAACAATAACAGTAATCCTTATCATATCCTACAATTTCTTAAAGAAATCAAACTGTATTCCAAAATATAACTTCAACAAAACCACAACATAAAACAGACATATTAGTATCTCTAGTAATTATATCAACACAAACATGTATATATACAAAAGCTGAGTATCATCTACCATGTATTTAGTTGTGAAAGCAGAATAACATATATTTATATATTTATTACTTCGAAGCTCCCAAGAAAATAAAATTTCGACATTAAATGACCCATAAGGAGTTGATATGCCATTAGACAAACAAATCAAATCATCAGAGCCGGTCTTTTTGCCTGAATAAGATGGTCGACATGGATAGCAAAGTCATGGGGTACCTTGTTCATTTTTTTTTGTTTTGGGCAAATAAAACCGATCACAGTTTGCCGGCCACTGTCACCGAGCAGACAGTCGTTCACTTTCTGAACGGCTGTTCGGTTCAACTCTCTTCCTACGGGCGGGAGGAACCTGAAGGAGGCTACGCCGAAGGGCGGAGACTCCTTCGGGGAGGTAAAACCGGCCCTGAACCCGTTTATACGGGTTCAATGGGCTATTTTTTGGCCGAGCCTAATGGTTCGGAATGCCCGCGTTAAAAAAGGCCTTGTGCCACATGACACCCTCGTGGGGGGGTGACTGAATATCGTCACCGAGCAGACAGGGAAATTGTCTTATCCTTACTCCTATGGTATCCTTCTTGAAGTGTCTTCTCATGAAATTTGACTTTCCCAGACCCCAGACCTTGGGACTCAGGGTTGGATATCAAGACTAGCAAATTATTGGTTATTTTGTTAATATTTGAATGTCTCCTTACGTCCACTCAAGAACAAAAAGTCGAAACCTTTTGAACATTGATTGCACCTGTCCTACTGCATGGATCAGAAACTTTGACGTTATCTGCTCATCTTGAAAGATGACTGGATGGAACATATAGAAATCTGCCTATAAAAGTCCAGAACATCGGTTGGAGATCCCATGCAGCACTTAACACAATTTACAGAGAACTGAGACCCAATCTATCTTAAGCTCAAATAAAAATGATTACAGCTTGTTAGCCACTGTTACCGAAAAGACAGGGAAATCATCTTATCCTTACTCCTATGGGCATCCTTCTGGAAGTGTCTTCTCATGAAAATTGACTTTCCCAGACAACCATAGCTCAGGACTCGGGTTGGACATCAGGGATCTGGGTGCAGGACTGAACAGTGTGGATAGGGATTGTCAATGGAGTTCCGACTGACCATAGGGAGGTCAAAGGATGATGATGATGATGATGATGATGATGATGATGATGATGATGATGATTGTGTTGCCACAACAAAAATGTTCATCTATGGCTCTTCTTTTTTGGGTGGGGCTTATAACTTTTTGAACAACTGTCGTACCCTCAATAATATGTGCAATACATATACACTGTAATTACAAAGAAATGCCCATTTTGTCCGCAAAAAAGTTAACTGTACCCTTTTTGCCTGATGTATTTCTTTAATTTTATTTATTCATCATAAAGACTAAATGATAGCATTTTAGTTCCCTTTGTCACCTGGCAAGCTATATTTTTAGATTCAGTTCGCAACAACAATATGTAAGTAAACAGTGTGTGTGTGTTTAGTGCGTGTATGTGCGTGTGTATTTGTTTAACTGGAGAGGTTGACGATCTCAGGAAGGGTGATACAATTTGAAATGGAAGAGTATGCTACTGGTCACCAATTTATTGCTGATGAGGGCTTCCGAAAGAAGGGAATTCAGCATTTTCAAAAGAAATGAATTTCAACATGTAATATAATAGTGGGGACTATTATATGACAAAAAGAAAAATATCATTTTAATCAATGTTTATTTCATTTTCAGATGACGGAACAACATCGGAGGGAGAAGAAACAACAACCCTTCCACCGTGGATGAATATATCCAGTACAATTCTTACCAATAGTGAGGGATATCTATATCTATCTATCTATCTATCTATCTATCTATCTATCTATCTATCTATATCAGTTTCTATCTATCTATCTATTTCTATCTATCTATCTATCTATCTATCTATCTATCTATCTATCTCATCTATCTATCTATCTATCTATCTATCTATCTATCTATCTATCTATCTCATCTATCTATCTATCTATCTCATCTATCTATCTATCATCTATCTATTATCTATCTCAGTCTCTATCTATCTATCTATCTATCTATCTATCTATCTATCTCAGTCTGTTTGTATTATCTATCTATCTATCTATCTATCTATCTATCTATCTATCTATCTATCTCAGTCTGTTTGTATCTATCTATCTATCTATCTATCTATCTATCTATCTATCTCAGTCTATCTATCTATATCTATCTATCTATCTATCTATCTGTTTCATTTATCTAGTCTGTTTCTATCTATCTATCTATCTATCTATCTATCTATCTATCTATCTATCTATCTATCTATCTATTGCGTTGAGTCATAAGTAATTTTTATTTTGGGGAATCAGTTGTAACGGTGAATGCATCATCCTAACTAAGCATTTCTTAAATATATTATAATGTATTTTGAAAAAATGTATTACGTACGAAAAGGTTCAACAGAAAAGGTAATAGTTTGTCACAACTGACACCAAAAATCTGAGCTCCATGGAAGAACGGTTATGTTGTGCTTGTGAAATGTTCAGGATATTATTCATTTAGAGTTCTTAAAAAGTAACAAAACACTAAATCCACATTTATACGTCAAGCATTTGCAATGTGTCCATAAAGGTTTGGATAGGAAAAACGGTATTTTTTTCCATGACAACGCAAAGCCGAATACAGCAACGAAAATAAAAACAGGAAAATATTCTGGAATTCTTTTGGTCCTTTCTACTCCAACCGTCATATTTACCTGACTTTCCACCAACCTGTTTAATGCAAAATTCTTTGATGACGACAATCTCCTCTAATGAAAACCAAATTCTAGTGTCCGTCGAAAATGTTTTCCTATCACTGTCAGATAAAATTTTACTCCAAAGATATCGAAGAGCTGTTCGATAAGTGGTGACACGCCATTGCAAACAATGGTGAATATTTAATTGGATAAAATATAATTGTAATTTAGTTTTTGAAGAATAAAGTTCATAAAAGATGGAAATTATTTATGACTCAACCTAATATCTCAGTTTATTTATTGTAAATTACACATGATTTCGGGCCGCGTAGTTCAGTACGAGAGGCGATAATGTCCTTTTTTTGCCGCTGAACATCGGAGGCAACGGATTGACGTCAAATACTATTATTATTATTATTGTTGTTGTTGCTAAGACAATTGTTTAAATGTTGAATAATAGAAAATAATTATCCTATTATAATTGTATTTGTCCCACTTGACGTTAGTTCTCGCTACCGTTACGCCCTGCAAATACCACAATGGATCATTCTGTTTTGATCTCGTGAAAATTGGATAAAATACCCTACTTGATTTCAATGAGCAAATGGAAGAAAGAAGAGAAGATAGAAGTGTTTAATGTCTCCTGTCAATACTTCATAAATAATATACGATTCCGTTTTAGCGAGGTAGAAATACAAGACATGCTATTTGGTTTCAGCGAGAAAATGAATGAATGAAAGAAAGAAAAAAAGAGAAAGAAGACAGAAGCGTTTAACGTCTGCTTCAGTGAAATGGAAAAAAAGTTGTCAATTTTAAATCTTTTCATTTGTATCCAGTTAAAATAACAACCAGCATTCATATTTATTATTGTTATTACAATATTTTGTTAAAATTGTTAAACTCAAATATTTAACGATTTGATAGAGGATTTTCTACAGTTATTTTATTGTTGTAGAACTCGCCATAAACTTATTCAATCATTAATTTAAGAGATAAGATTCGTCTGGAGATTAAAATAGGAAAATCGTGAAATGTTCGCAGTTCTTTCTAGTACAGAATAAATAGTAAAAATAAAAATTACAAAATAAACGTTAATGTCTTTTCTAACATCAAACTTAAACGGCGACCCGATTCTGAGAGGTCCTACCCAGGATTCATTATTGGCGGCTACAATCTTAACAACATAATATATTGTTTTTTAAGCAAGGCGGGAGTGTCACTAGCACGCGAGGGTTTACATAGAGGGAGAGCAAGAGTAAGGAGAAGTCTTTGGGAAAAGGATAAAGAGAAGGACAGTGATCAAGGTCAAGGCATCAGAAGATGTCGATTGACATTACATTTGAATATTTGAAGATTATATCTATCATGGAAGCAAGTGATAAGAAGAGAGTTCCACTGACGAGAGGTGCAAGATAAGAAGCTGTTGGAGTAGAAGAGATGGCTACATTTAACCGTTTTGACAGTGAAATGGTGGGACCAAGATGCCAACCTAGTAGCACGCTTAAATTCATGCAGTTTGGGAACCAGTGAAAGTAGCTCGTCGGCGCAGTTGTCATGAAAATACTTGTAGAAAAGACAGAAGGAAGCCACAGCACGACTGTGAGATAGCGACTGCAGACGGGATGCCAGAACAGGACCAACCACGTTGCATATCCGTCTCTGGATTTTGTCAAGGACCTCGAGATGAACAGCGGGAGCACCAGACCATATATGACAGCAATATTCCATGCAAGGACGAATGGTTGATTTGTAGATTTTAAGGATGGACTAAAGCAAGAAAAACCTTCTGGTGAGACACAGAGAACCAACTTTCCTTGCGGTAGATGAAGCTATAGATTCAATGTAGTTGTTCCACTTCAGGTCAGTGGACAGCGCGAAACCAAGAGGCGCTCTCGTGGAGTTCTCTATGGTTGGTAGCTGAGAGCAGTTTCGTTTTAGAGGCATTAAAGTTTACAAGACATTTCCTGCTCCAGTCAATCACAGATTGGACGTCCTTCTCGAGGCCTAAGGCTAGGTTAGTGTTGATAGCAGACACAGGAAGAAATCTACAAAACCTTCTACAGAAGGAAGCGAAGGGAAGCAGGAAGAGGGAAGAAAGGACTAAACATCAATTGCAAGAGGACAGAACATGGTTGTTAGCAAAAGAGGTGAACCCAAAATGCAAATTACAAATCGGAAATACCAAAACCAAAAATGTACAGAAATTTAAATGTCTGGGAAGAGTTTTAACAGAAGACTGAAAGTGTGACCCTAAAACCCAAAGACGTATTAAGATAGCAAAAGATGCATTCCAAAAGCTAAGCAGAGTATAAAGAGACAGAAAAACTTCATTGGAATCAAAGAAAAGAGTACTGAGATGTTACGTGATGTCTGTCCTCTTATAAAGCAGTGAAAGCTGGACAATCCCCTCAAGATGAAGACGAGAATTGAAATGTGTTTCTAAAGAAGAATGCTGAGAATATTATGGACCGAAGTTTTAGAGAAAACGGAAACAAAAAGGACACTTATACTTAACATCAGGAAGAGAGAGTTGAATTTTCTAGGGCACATTATGAGGAAAGACGGCCTGGAAAACCTGACACTCATAGGGCAGATTGAAGACAAGAGGGAGAAGAGTAAAACAACGTATAACATACTTAGTTTGAGTAAATGGATGGCAGAACAAGGTTTAGAAGAGATAACAAAGAGATAAAATTTATTAAGAGCTACAAAGGGCAGGAAACTGTGGAGAGCCATGATCACCAATGTCTTGATACATAGAAGAAGAAAAAAGAGATTGAGTGAATGGATGGCGGAACAGTGCTTAGAAGAGATAATAAAAAGATAAAATTTATTAAGAGCTACAAAGGGCAGGAAATTGTGGAGAGCCATGATTGCCAATATCTTGCAAGGATATGATACATAGAGGAAGAAAAAAGAGATTGAGTGAATGGATGGCAGAACAGGGCTTAGGAGAGATAACAAAAAGATAAAATTTATTAAGAGCTACAAAGGGCAGGAAACTGTGGAGAGCTATGATCGCCTACATCCTGAGTGGACACGCCACCTAAATAAGAACATCAAACTTGACTAATCCTTATCAAAAGAATATAAAAAAACAACATCAACAAATACCACGACTCCTTTTCTCTTCATTTTATTTTGTCCTATTTTATTTTGTAGCTGAAGACCTTTCCACAACAGAATCAAGCAGTACCCTTTCAGATGGTTTTACAGGTAGGTACTTACCAGTTAAACAAGTTCTTTCTCTTTTTAGTGACCAAAACAGAGGAGAGGAAGTGCGATACTGAGATCCAAAGACATATTGGGATGGCCAAAGATGCATTCCAAAAGCTAAGCAGAGTATTAAGAGACAGGAAAAGTTCATTAGAAACAAAGAAAAGAGTACTGAACTGTTACGTAATATCTGTCCTCCTGAATGGTTGTGAATGCTGGACAATCTTCTCAAACATGAAGAAGAAAAGGGAAGCAACAGAAATGTGGTTCTACAGAAAGATGCTGAGGATACCATGGACCGAACATGTGAGCAACGACGAAGATTTGGAGAAAATGGAAACAAAAAGGACATTTATACTTAACATCAGGAAGAGGCAGTTGAAGTTTCTGGGGTACATAATGAGGAAGGAGGGCTTGGAAAATCTGATACTCACAGGGACAAATTGAGGGAAAGAGGGACAGAGGAAAGCATCTCGTAAAATACTTGATGGACTAGAGAAAATGGATTGCAGTACAGGGTTTGGGAGAAATAACAAAAAGACAAAACTTATTAAGAGCCACACAAGAACAGGAAGATGTGGAGGACCATGATCGCCTACGTCCTGAAGGGGCACGGTACATAAAAGAAGAGATCGCGGAAAGCCATCAGATCTGAACAATTGGAATTTTTTTTAAGTGGGGGTAGCATACGCATTGCTGACTTCCCCAATTTTACCAACAGTTTATTTTCACGGGTCAGTTAGAGGAACAAGAGTAATAAGGATTCTCGTTCTTAAATTTTCTTTTTTCGAGACAGATGGCTAAGTGGTAATGGTTATGGCGAAATTTATCGTAAGGAACATTCGACATGACCGAACAATTTGTATGACACGCGGTTGAAATTTATAAAATTATTTTTAAAAGAGTTTTCAGGATATCAGACGTCTCAAGTCGGCTAACTGTTATAGCTTTTTCTAACATTCTTGGCTGTTTCCTTCTAAACCTTTTGTTTTTAGTACCGTGGAAAGTTAATAGCTGGATTATGCCATTATTTTCTCTCCAGATTCACAGAGCAGTAAGTCCAAATAGCCACAAATTCACTCATCTAACTCATCGGCTTCAATAGTTATTCTTGCTATCTATCTATCTATCTATCTATCTATCTATCTATCTATCTATCCACACACACACACACACACACACACACACACACACACACACACACACACACACACACACACACACACACATATATATATATATATATATATATATATATATATATATATAGGTAACTATACTCGTTTCGAAAAACCTTTTGAATTTTTGATTTGCCAATAATCAAATCAATCTCGAAGGAAAAAAAAGGTTTAAAAAAAGAAAGAGCTAGAAACATGAAAGTCTGTCGAAAAA